TTGATCGATAGCTGTTTCATTATTAGAAATAAGAAAAAAAAATAATATAAAAGTTGTATGACCATATTAAAAATTATTCCTATATATACAGGGTGGTCCATAAACTAGATGTCGACCAAACCTATACATTTTTAAATCAAAACACCCTGCAAGTAGTTATACATATTGGATTGTTTTCACGTCGTCAAATAATTTTAATTGACTTTATTCATTTGCTATGTTCTATATAGAGTGTGTCAACACGCGAGGTTACAAATGCTTAAATTTTTTTCAATGGAATATTATATTAATTGGTGGCATAACATACAAGGTGTTCCATTTAGAAAATTAAGAAAATCGTGACCATTTTCACACATCCTATATGCAAATGAATGAAATTGAAATTATTGTTCGACGATGTGAAAACAGTCAAATATGTATAACTACCTGCAGGGTGTTTTACTTTAAAAATGTATAGGTTTGGTCAGACAATCGTTTATGGATTACCCTGTATATTTATAAATAATTGGTAAATATGGTCATACAACTTTTATATTAATTTTTTTCGTATTTCCTATTATAAAACTGCTATCGATCAATTACGCACTCATGGGACACCCTGTATATGTGTTATTGATATCGTTGGATATGTTAATTTATAAGGAATTGAATGCTTAAATAATATACAGGGTGTGGCATTTAAAAAAAAAAAATAAATTTTACTTGGAATTAGCCATATTTAAGACTTGTTTTTCAAAACACACTGTAAAAAATAATCCAGTTCTATTACCACTATTCGTTAGCTTACTATCTTATTACTACATTTAAAAAAAATTTGAAATTATTTTAAACCTACCTAAATAATGATAATTTAATTTGGGGTCTGAATCATTCTCTAATTTCATAAAAAAAATTAATTTATTGGCAACCTGCAATATTTGTTAATAAAATTCTAGGGTTAAATACAGCATTACCAAAGCATTCAAAAACTAAAGTAAAATACAGGGTTTTCTTTTTAAAAAATATACATTTTATTTGTCAGACAAAAACGCAAAACCCTGTATGTCTAAAAATATCTTTAAAATACCTATTTTTGAAATTCATATAACTTTTATTTAGAAATTGTTTACGTATTTACAACACAAATTAAAATATTGAACAATTACGCACTAATGGGACAACCTGAATATATTATTCACAATATATGCACGCGACATATGTTTGTAATAATTTAATCTCGCGCCGCGTTTATATATTTTATTCATGCGTCTATTAGATATTGTAGTTTACCTAGACCCAACCACAACATTTGCTTCGGCAGTCAACGTGTTTTAAATGCTTTTTTATTAATTTGTTGTTTAATTTTTATTTAGTTATTAATATTTCAAAAATGCCTATTTTTCTTATTGATTAATCTAAAATACGTAATTTTTATTTATAATTGAAAATAGTACTGTAATTCTAAATTGACAAAAAAAGTAGAAATATGAAAACATAAATTACGACTCTACAAATGAAGTAAAATTTTATGATTAATTTCTTTTTTCTTACAAAAACATTATCTCAGCAATATGTCATAAGTTGCATACACACAGTAGGTCTATGTAAGTTGATGATAAATGGAAAACTTTTTTATTATTTATTTTACGAAAAATAGTTATTCTTCATAAAAATTTATGCATGGTCTAACAGAAAATGCAACCACCCGATAGCAAATTTTATCAGTCGGTTTTACAAGGTTTGTCAAAAAATATAATTTTGCTCTCAAGATAAAATACCTTTATTTTCGACAAAACCTGTATACGTCAGATAATTGAAATTTAGGTTTTAGACCATGCATAACTTTTTATGGAAAGTAACTTTTTTTCTAAAATTAATAGACCATGCAATTGTTTATGAAAAATAAGTTTTTTTTTTAATTCTTAAAAAGGTTTTCCGTATGCCGATGCCGCCAACTTACATATAAATGAGATTAAATTTTTTGAAAATAATTTTTACTGATGCAGATCTAAATAAAGTATTGTTGGTAAATAAGGTACATTTTTCTTTTTTTATTTGGTTCTTTGGCTGTAAGACCTTTCGGTATATACATGGTATTCCATTAAGAATGGGAGCAACTGAAGATTAATTGATTAGAAATAAGCCGATTAAATGAAACATCCGTAGGTAAAACATTACTTGTTTCCGAAAAACAGAGTTTTAAAGTTGAAAATCAAAAATTATAAATAGCTACAATTTTTTTATTACTCAGTTTAATTTTACTAAATTCGGCAAACGTTATTGGTGTAATAAAATACATCTATCAACAAAAAATAAGTTAAATAAGCTTTGCCAGTGGCGTACGTCATGGGCCAGTAACATCTTTTTTCCTTCTAAATTTTAGTCCACTGTCCACTTTTGATGTTTTTTAAATAAAGTTGAGTTAGTTTTTGAGATATTCGCACATATTAGAAAATTCTGAAGTTTTTAAATTTCGATTTTTTTTATTAAATTTCTAAGAGTACATTATTTATTTTAAAAACATCAAAAAATTTAAAATTTTATGTCCAAATAACATTTTGGATAGTGACGTAAAATTTAAGAGGTATGCGGTATTACGTACGAATGCTGTACGCCACTGGAAAAGTTAATTAAGGAAACTTATTTTTTGCTGATAGGTGGATAATTTGACACCAAAAACGTTTGCCAAATTTAGTAAAATTGTTGCGAGTAATAAAAAAAATAAAGCCATAAATATTTTTTGGATTTTAACACCTTTACTCGGTACCGAGAAACATTTTATCTAAGCATGATTTGTTTAGTTGTCTTATTTTTAATCAGAGAATCGTCAGTTGTTCTATGTCCCATTCTTAACGAAACACTATGTATAGTAGGTATAAGTGGTCCCTACGTAATGATACGAAGACCGTTGTCCTTTGTTGACTGGACACAAGAATGAACTACTAAATAAATATACCGACGTGCCGAATCTAATGCAAAAGTTTTATTTTTATATCTGTTTCATCGAAAATATTTGTCAAGGTCAAGAACTTAGTTATTATCGCGTAGTAGCTAGGGGTGATGAATTTGTTAGGTATTTTATAACAGTTACCGTTTAGAACTAATAAAATTATTACGCCATCTGTTGAACAAAAGAACTATTAAATATGGAATATTGCTCCAAAAAGGATTCTTAATTTATAACACATAAATGACATCTATCAAAATTAGTTCATGTTACGAATATTGGGGGTGGTACTGTGGTCTTAAGGTTATTACTAAACTTGTGCCGATTGTGTCTTGTCAGTAGTACTTAAAATTTAAGCATCATGGCGCCTATCATATAGGGGTTCAAAATTTTTCACGATGCGTTATCTAGACTTTCTGAAAGCTATGTTATGGACTCATATATTTTTATTTTCTTTTGCTTGACAGTGACAGACTATCAACTTTACTGTTATAGTAACGAGAATTACTGTTCTGGCTCCATTCATATCATTAAATGTTTCTTTTCTTGAAAGATCTTTATCGAAATTTTATTTAATAATTTACAATTTTATAAATAGAATTTTCATTATTTTTGAAAAATGATTGCTAAAGTCATAAAAAAATTATGAATGAGCTGACTAAAAATAAACACTTTTCGCTATCCCCCATGTAATAAATACTGTTTCTTGTTATTAAATAAAGTGAGAGTGTTAAAGTTTTTATATTTTTAACTCCTATATACTGTCATTACATTTTTTATACATATTGTAAATGTCAGTAAAAATATACAAATACCATGTTAAAGTTATTTTGACGAGTTAAAAATTTTATTTGATATTTGATCTGACAATCGAACATTTTATGCAGCTAGAATTTTGTTTTCTATTGATTTTCAACTAAAAGGTATCATATCCCTAACATTTTATAACAAAATACCCCAAATACACAGGCGCGTGGTGCACGCGCATGAATGGGCCCATTTTTGATGAAAATAATATCTAAACAATGCAGACCGTAATGTGGTTAACAGGGTGTACCTATTCTCATGCTACGATGAAGTTGCGTATCTTGAAAGGAGTATAGCTCCGCCTTTGCATTTTCGTTATCACCAACTCAGCTACTGAGTTAAAAATATTAGTTGGTTTGACCAATCAGGCACTTGACAGGTGGATCCAAGGTTGCAAATACGGACTTTACCTCATCGCCACTGGCGCTTACAATATCTGTTTACATGTGCCGTCCCATACCACAGTAATGGTCCTTGTACAGGATGTTAGTATATTTCACCAGCAACACTTTATCACAGAAAGCTCTCGTTAATTGATGAATTGTAAAATAGAAACATAAACCCTTAAAGAGTTTAGCTATGTAGATACAGGGTGTTAAAATTTTATATCAAAATTAAAAATTTACCATAAATCAAAAACTTCTTTAAATATTTTGTCAATTACATAAATTATTATGACATGTGCTAATTTAGAAATATTAAGTCGTTACAAATTATCTAAGTACATGTAGACTTTTGTTTAAAAGCAAATTTCTGCAACACTTCATTTTAGCTCCATAAAAGGTTCCTAATTTTTTAACTAAGAATAAACAGAAAATAAAAAAATAATAAAAATGTTTGTTCCAGTGGCATATAAAATTAATAGCAATTCAATTTCTGTTGATAGGACAGGCAGATTATAAAACCGCCATGCGTTACCGTCTCGAAGATGGTGGGTGAGGTTTTACGGGTTTTCCTCACCTGTAAGTCAAATGAGACCATCAATAATCTTCGCCCCGGAGCGCCACAGCAAATAATAATAATAATATCCATCCCTTTCCCTTTACAAGTCGTTAAGTCAACTTCGGGGGTTGAAATTCACTCGTAAGGGGGTGAATTAGGGAGAGTATTATTATTATTATTATTATTAGTATTACTACTGTATATCAATTACATATTTATCGGAAAAATAACTATTGAACACTTCCAAGTACCTATTACCAATGAAATAAAAAATTACAAAAATGAAACCAGTATAGTTTATATAAATATTTCTTTTGTTTTTCAGATATAATGTCAGAAGGTGCTAGTGACCGAATATCCTTACCACCAGATGACTGCAGTTTTAAAGACTTAGACACAAGCAAAAATCTTAGGACAACTGGCCACCTGGATATACTTCCGCCCCCTCCCCATAATATTAATCTTAAGAACAATATATTGGTAAGGTTCTTTAATCCAATAATATTTCAATATTTGTTTTTATTATGGTTAAATATTTGTATGTAATATACGCTATACGTCATTAGAACAAACATATATGGTAAAAATAGCAATAATAAGAATCTAAAAAGAACAGAAAAATGTAGATTAAACGTGTAGATAATGCTGTTTTTTCAAGACCAACTTTAAAAACAATTTTTATGGATAAATCCTCAATATATGACAAAATATAATAGTAACAACAGAACCATATAGCGATGCTGCTAATTTGCACATTTCGTAAACTAGGCATGCTATTTAACATCTTCCTCTTCAAGCAAACCTCAAGTAACTATTTTGAGGCCTTTTAAGTGAATTGAATTCCTCCGCAAAATCTGAGCAAGATATAATCCAAGCAAGATATAATCTAAGCAAGATATAATCTAAGCAAGATATAATCTAAGCAAGATATAATCTAAGCAAGATATAATCCAAGCAAGATATAATCTAAGCAAGATATAATCTAAGCAAGATATAATTTAAGCAAGACATAATCTAAGCATCATATAATCTAAGCAAGATATAATCTAAGCAAGATATAATCAAAGCAAAATATAATCTAAGCAAAATATAATCTAAGCAAGATATAATCTAATATCTTCTGCTGTCCTTCATATCCTTGCAGACTCCCATAAATTTGTATAAATATTTCCATTATTATATCGCGCTCTTTAAATTTTGATTCTTCTCTACATTTTTGTTGTAGTCTTTTTGTAAAATGTTTGAATTTGGAGCATTTACCGAAAAGCGGGGTTATTCTGGCCTTTTTCCGGACCTTTTTGGATGTACCATAAAAAAAGGTCTACATACAAGCTAATATTACCATGATAAAAAATACGACTCCTTTTATAGGGGGCCCTAAAAAATTTTTTGAAGGTATGTCCAAAATAACCGCATATAGCGGAAATATTTTGGAATTGGCAAAAATAACACAGACTATGAAGTTAAACAGCTCAAGGGGCTTTTTTAGATATAAAAAAATATATCTACCTGAGTATTTTTTCTTTTAGGGATGAAAAAACTACTAAAAAACACAAAATATTAGTTTTATTGATTTTATTACAAAAAAATCGAGAACATTTAAGAAATATAAGTACGAATTCTAAAAACAACGTAAACTTAAATTAAATTTGGTTTCTTCAGCCTTTTAGCATAATTCGGCACTTAACCAGGAAGTACCTGCATAGTTAATATAGGATATTATTGGCAATTATAAGATGATGCATACTCATTAGATTTAAAAAATACTCTTCTTCCTGTGCCATTTATTTTTCGACTCTGAAGTATTTTTTTATATGTTCTTCAAGAACATCGTCTATATCTTTTACATCTGGTGTTAGAGGATTTTTTTAAAAAATCTACCGTGTAGGAGCACTCTAAATTGGTTTTTGAAATTGAAACTACTTTCCCAACGAAGTAGCATGGTACATTTTTTCTTTCATATTCTATCAATACTCATTTACAATCGGTTTCTTAAGTTTAATCGAAGAATTTGTAGGTGGCACGTTTTCTTTGAAGTGTATCAATGGCATATAATCATCACTGCTACTGCTATTTGGTGATTGATCCCAGAATTTTGGCAAGTCATCGAAACTCTCGGGGCTATCGCCTCCTTTATCGGGTTCATATGGTACATCAGATTCGCCAGAAGAAGACGATGATATTATCGCTGATTTCTTTTTTTTTAAGTTTCAATTTTTTGCGTCTTTACCATTTTCATCCAATTTTTGACGAAGTTTATTTAGTAGTTGCGGAAATACCTCTTTTGATAACGTAGACATTTTACGCCCTCCTGTTTTCTTCCATTCGGTAAGTATCGCTCGCCAATACTTCTTTAGAGGAGCGTAGAATTTCACATCAAGGGGTTGCATCAGATCAGTTGAGTTAAGGGGTAGGCAGATAAAAGATATGTTTTTTCTTAGTAATTTGTAATACTTTCTGTGAAAAATTTGAGGATAGGTTGTCGCCAACTAAAATCTGCAATAAAAAAATTGGGGATTATTATTCAAATAGCAAAATCTTTATTTCCTGGATTATAAACAAATCTTAGCTCCATCTTTGTTTCTCAAATAACGGACAACAATGCTACAAAACCAGTCCTCAAAGCAGACGGCATCAAACCAGCCATCAAACGAGACGGATTGTAACGCGCTCCTGCAGGTCCACCGTGAGTACTATCCCACATAATATGATCTGCCTTGTAGACTACATATTCAGACAAAAGTTGTCCATCTGCAGTTTCAGCATACATTTTGCTTATGGCAGTCTTCGTGGAGTTGACTACCCTTTCAGGGTGCTTGATGCCTCTCTTGAATATAATTTTTTTTTGTCCCTGGGTTGTCAGTCAGGTTGGTTTCGTCGAAATTTATTATTAGAGATGGGTCTGTGGTATTAAACATATCTCGGGCATTGTCAAAGAAAATGTCCAAATTTTGCCTATTTACCATCGCACGTTTGGTAGAGATATTCGCAGAAAATCGATTCGATATTGAGTTTTTATTTCTCTTTAAAAAAATTGAAGCCCAATCTCGACCGGGTAGATTATTATTAAGCCATCGTTCACTGCGGCCTTTTCTGTTAAAAGACTTGATTAATATCCTCAAGTGAGTAATGTCAAATGGAAATCCCCAGGAAGCAACCACGTTTAGATGTTCAACCAGCACTTTTTCTTCTTCGCTTGTTAAAATGCAAGGCCTTGTTCCTGCCGTAGGAAAAGGGCTTTTTGTCTTAGCTCGTAAAGCTAAAGTAGACCTTGGCACCTTATATTTTTTAGAAGCCTTATCAAGGTTCAGACCATTATACTGAATATCACATATGGCGTTTTGGAAGGCTTCTTCTGTATAGTTTCTGTACGGTGTATAGTTTTTACCATTTCGAGAATGGGTTAAAGTTTTTACGTAAATGCGAACCATTCTTATTTTAGGGACCAGAAGAGATTTTTAGCCTAAAAAAGCAAATTCTTTGGTTATTTTAGAAAATGGGGCTATTTTGGAAACGCGGGGCTATTTTGGAAGAATAAAAAATATCTCGTCCAAAATTTCCCCGCTCACCGAAAAACCCTATAGTTTTTTTTTAAGTATATATTGTTTTTAAAATACGTATTATTTTTAAGTAACAACACCCACACAAACTTTTTTGCAAAGCCATAGCTGCATTCACTCATTTTTACTAGTGTGCAGTAGTGAAAGTTGACCATATTTATTTTCTTGCAAAAAAAAACGCATGTGGTTTGCCGGCGCCTAGAGCTACTAAACTTACCTCTACCAGCCCGCAACAAGTACTAACTGGCTTTTCGCGGTCTTCTCTGAGAACTCTCAGAACACATCGTTGCCAGATTGAATAAGAAAAACTCAATTTCCAAAATTACCCCGCATTACTAAAATAACCCCGCTATACGGTACTGCATTTTTTCCCATCGGCCGGGAATGTGTTGAATACAGGTTCCTTCGCATCTAGTATAGTTAAAATTGTGGGAGTATAAACCCCACGAAAACAACACTAGTGGCCTTTTCAAGGAAAAGAAAACTCAATCTCGAAACCATCAAAGATATATAGAATGGAAAAATAAAGTCAAATACTTAGGCCTATCCCTGGACAATAAACTGCTCTGGAACTTACATGAGAAGGAAGAAGTAAAAAAGGCCACAAAAGCCTTAATGGTATGCAGAAACATTGCGGGTTAACGATGGGAATGTAACCCGAACACACCGCGATGGATGTATACTGCAATAGTGAGACCAATCATCATATACGGGGCTATAGCCTGGAGTAACAGAACTAGTTTAGCTACTACGAGAGCTAATATCTCAAGTACAAAGACTAACCTATGCTTGTATCATTGGTGCAAAGAGAACCTGTCCTACGACCGCATTGGAGCTGATCTTAAACCTCACCCCTCTACATTTAATGATAGAGAATGTGGCAAAAATAATACAATATAAAATGATCAGAAACAGAGTATTCAGACGAAAGTCTATTCAGGACCAAAGATACTTTGGATATGCCTCAACATGTTATGAGAAAGAAGAACGGTTTTGTGAAAAACTTTAAAACCACAGATCTGGACTGCAAGAAAGAATGAAGCCAAAAATCCATCGTTCTTGCAACCGAAAGACATGCTATTCAGTGGTATAGGGATGGTTCTAAAACCATAGAAGAAACTGAAATAGGAGTGTATGGGCCTAGAACCAGGCAATCTAAAAGTTTTGGAAAATACCCAAGCAAGCAAATTCACGCCATTGAGAAGAGTATCCAGTTTAACATCAAGAGAAACTATCGTAGAAAAGAGATTATCATGTTCGATAGCTAAGCAGCCATTAATGCGCTGAGCTCTTACGTTATCAGCTCAGAAATTGTCAGAATGAGCTAGGCTAGGAAAATACAGTTACTCTTTCTTGGATCCCGGGACGTTACGGGGTACAGGGTAACGAGATTGCAGATAGTCTGCGGTATCAGCTGTAACACAATATTAGGATAGATTAAAAAAGAATTGAACCAATAATTGGAACAATCTCTTGGGGCTAAGTTATTTCTGGGAGAATATAACCTGAATAGATCGGCCTAAGCAAGAACAGGTTACGTATTGTAACAGGGATCCTTACTGCGTATTGCCGACTCAAAGGACATCTTAGTAAACTGAGAGTAGTAAAAGATAGTAAGTGCATATTCTGTGAGTATCAGGATGAAACCTCCACTTTCCAACTGAATGTGTAGCACTCCAGAATCCAAGGGCACTTTACACAGGAGGATAGCAAATAGAAGAGGGAGATTTACCTAACTTGAAACCACTCCAAATCCTAGACTTCTTTGAGATGATAGGATTGGAAGGGTCGTTATAGGCATTGAGAAATTTCTATGCTGCATTAGCGACAGAAAGGAACACCATAGATCTTTTAGATCTTAGTGTATTAACACCCCATTCCCAACATAACATAATTTTTAAGCAGGATTTCATTTTTAAT